AAATTAGGCAAAAAAAAAGAAAGAAAAATGATGGGGATGAGAGAGGGAGAGAGATAGAGAGTGGAGGGGTGAGAGAGCTCTAGAGAGAGATAATGCAGAGGTGTGAGAGCTTTAGAGAGAGAGAGAGAAGATAGGGGAGAGAGAGGCGTGAGAAAGTACATGTTATATGAGGCGAGGCACGAGTAGACCTTGGCTTGCGAGAGCAGAGGAATGCAGTGAGCAGCAGAGAAAAGGAGTGGACGGAAGTGAACCTGTTTTACGGGGTGAAAATTCTTTTTTGAAAATCCTTGGTTTTACACAAAACTTATTTTTGGCCTAAAGAGAGAAGTTCTACCGTGCTATGAAATTGTTTTTACAACTTATCCTTTTTTTTTTTTGTTAAGCGCGAAACATGCAGTAAGTTCCTTTTTCTTCCCCCTAACTTTTTCTTGTTAAGGTAACTTATATAGTTCTAATCGTTTCATTTTTAAAGTATTTTGTTCATCTTTTTTTTTTTGGTGTAAATATCATATTACAATAGGCTTTTCATCCATATATATTTGAGTATTCATGATTTTTAAGCCCCTAATGGAACTATACATGTATATCATCATATGTGCATAGTCTAGTTTACTACTTAGCTCTTAGACACCATTTTTTTCATGATTTTGATTCTATGTTTTCTCTAAGATTTTTTTTTTTTTTTTTTTATCATACCAAAAGACATTTGATATCCATTTAATTACTATATCATTGGTCATTGATCATAGTTTTTTTCGCTTCTTTTTTTTTAAAAAAAAAAAACTTACTTTTATTTTAACACCTATATAGTTACAAGTTGTTTACAGCTGAATTTTGCTCACTCTTTCATCACCAAAGTTTATTTCTCTTCTCATTTTAAAGTTTTTCAAATGTATTTCAAGCAGTGGTTTAAAAAACGGATCGGTGCCCCGGATCGGGCATCCCAAAAACCCATGCAGATCGGGAATTGACCGAATCGGTCGGATTAAACCTTAAATAAAATTCAAAAAAATTATTAAATTTCATTATAAATGTTTTTTTTTTAAGAATCCAATAATAAATGATGGTACTACATTAATAACTTTTATTTTTTGCATCAATATGCAAATATTGAGATGTTGCTTCCCTGTATAAAGATTCTCATCAAACATTTATTAAAACCTAATTAAATACAATATTATACATTGAAATTAGAATTATTGGTTGGTATTTTATTAATTTATCATCATTTTATTATACAAGTAAGAATAAATTAGAAATTTGTCTTATAATATCATCTAATTTAAAAATCTAATTCATAACTATAACAAAAAATAATAAATTATATAATATATAATGAAATAAATTAATAAATAAAATATAATATTTGATTATTATTATAATTAATATAATTATTAATTATAATATTATAATAACCATGATTCAAAAAACAAGGTTCGACCCTCATAAAAAAATAAAAAAAATCATTAAGTACTTAGGAACTCAAAATGCCTTTTTCTTTATTTTTTATTTTAATAAATATTGATATACTGTAAAGTGGAATATAATATTTTAGATATTTTTTTATTGTTCAAAAAGAAAATATTTTAGATCTAAAAGTACTCTATAAATAAGCTTTTTTACCTAAGGGATTACGTGTATATTGTGATTCTACAGTTACACACGGTCTTTTTCACCACTTCTATGGTGCCCTTATGCATGCCCATTAAGTTCGTATGATAGTTTTACTATTTAAAGAAGAAACAATCCCGCATCGAAGATTTAGGATTGTCGCAGTACCTATAAATCAAACCCATATGAGGGCTTGAGAGGAAGTCCATGCATGAGGTTGGGGCTTGTGTTTGTGAACTGCCTCGCTATAGCGGGGTTTGTTCTTAGGTTGGGGGTTTTGGTGTTTATTTACATTGACACGTAGTATAGGTTTTTGACACGTGGTATAATATTGGTAAAACAATCCCGTTTTGTTTGTGAATTCGGAATGGTCTCACTGATACCTGATCTGTTGAATCGCCCAGTTTCGGATCAAGTCGGCGATTTTTAAATTATTGGTTATAAGTGTGTGTAAGTTTTTCACTTCATAAGTTATTTGTGCTATCATTCATGGGATAAAATTAAGTTGTTGATCTGAGTTTTAGATCGGGTCGGCGATTTTTAAATCATTGATTTCAAGTGCGTGTACGCTTTCCACTTCATAAATGATATCATTCTTCATAAATGATATCCTTGTGTTTTATAGTTATTTGTACTATCATTCATGGGATAAAATTCAATTGTTAAAAGGTATCCTTGTGTTTTATAGTTATTTGTACTATCATTCATGGGATAAAATTCAATTGTTAAAAGGTCTGCTTGTGTAAACTGGGTACAAAACGATTGACCATTGGCTTCCCCTCATTACTTTACACTTATTTGTTTTAACTTTAAGTTTATTAATATTTTATGTCATAAAAAGTTGATTATGTGAAGTTTGGAGTTTGGTTTATGTTGAAACGAAAGCTTATGCAAAGTCTATTTGTAAGTTTATGTGTTAAGTGGTGTAGTTTTCTTTTATATGAGCATTGCATTTGTTTTTATGATTTGGAGACTCTATAGAATTGCAATTCTTTCATTTTCAGTGATATTTGAGTTTTTATAAGTTCAAAATTGTGGTTGTGACAGTCAGTAAGAGTTGTAGAAACTTCTATCTAAAAGTGTTACATGTAAAAATATTAAGCATCAAGTTTTAGTATTATATAAAGAGCATCATAGACTCTATATTACCTTCACTATGTTGCTCTCATACGCCCGGGGGGCACATGATGGAGGAATGTAGGCCAAACTTAGGGAAGTATTCATCTTAGAGTTGAACTTCACAACTTGATGGTTCTAAATAGGATCAATTTGGTTGTTTTTTTTAAAAAAAATGAAATAGGGTATAAATATAATAATAGAAATGGAGGAAACCTTTTTTTAAATAAAATTAATTCACAGAAATATGCACGTAAATTTATCCTTTTTGTTTGTAGAACTTGTCCACTATTGGTGAATTTTGGTGATTCATTGTGAGTTATTGTTCAGTCACCTAAAGCACATTTCTCTAGTCAGGCATGCACTTTATTGTCTAAATAAGTTTAGGAATTTATCCAATACCAATGAGAGATGAACTATTGAACATTCTACCAATATCTGTTGATTTAATTTTAAAATACACATCAAAACTCACATGATCATGTCTTGAAATAGTTGCAAATGGTAGTTCACTCCAATGGGTAGTTTGATAAGGAAAAAATTTATATAAGGTTGTAACCTTAAACTGTAAAAAAGAAGGCACACCTCGAAAATCCATCAAAAAATGTTATTTTGAAAGTTAAAACCCCACTAATTGATCATCTCGACATCAATATATATAGATGTGGAAAAAAAGAAAAAGTTTAAAATTGCATTGCTTTTGTGTTACGAAGCAAAATGCATAAAAACCTCCAAAATTTATTTTAGGATTATGACCAAAATGCATCTCTTCTCGTATTCTCATGAAAAAAGTTGTATTGCTTTTGTGTTTCCTAAGCAAATTTTCACTGATGCTCGAAAAGCAGAAAAAAAAATTTATTTCACAAAGCGTATTTGAAATGTGTATGATTTTTAAACATTTTATGAATTTTTTAGAGAAAATTATAGATACCTCAAAATGAACTTTGTAGATATCATCTCCCTCAATACTTTTAGTATCACATCCAAGACTCAAATACTGTTTTTTTTTTATTGACCCCTTAATAAAAACGTAAAAAAAAAAATAGAGACTAAAATGTTCTACTCCTCTCTGACTCTCTCTACCCATCCTCTCTCTCTACCCGCCTTCTCCCTCACTCTCTCTCTACCCACCCTCCCTCTATCCCCTCTCTCTCTTTCTACCACCTTCTCTCTACCCCCTCGCTACCCATCCTCTATCTCTCTTTCTCTTTCTTCTCAAATTTTTTTTATTTACTGTGACGATTGAAAAATTAGAGAGACGTTTTCATCAGTTTCATTTAAGAGTGAATATGATGTAATTCTTTTAGTTTCCTTAACTCCTTGTCTATTAAACGGAGAGAGAGATAGATAGAGAGAGAGATTGAAGTTCACAACAAACAAAAAAAATGCATGATTTTTTATCTTAAGTTGCAAAGAAACTGAACATTAGGGTTTCATTTGCTTATGAGCACTTAAAATTATTTCTCCCACAAAAAAAAAAATAACTTCATAGTTTCTCTCTCTAAAAAAGGAAGTTCCGTAAATTTGGGTAGAAAAAGAGAGACAGAGAGAGGGCAGGTAGAGAGAGAGGGTAGGTTGAGAGATAAAGAGAGAGGGCTGGTAGAGAGAGAAAAAAGAGAGGGTGGGTAGAGACAGGAGAGAGGAGAAAGACATTTTAGACTCTTCTTTTTTTTTTTTTTTTAACAGAGGTGTTAAATGCAAAAAACGAAATTTGGTTCTAAAGTGTGATATTAAAAGTATTGAGCGGAAGATGTCTATAAAGTTCATTTAGGGGATATTGATAATGTTCTCAAGTTTTTATTATGCAAAACAACTTCCCTTGTACAACATAGGATGATTCTCTATAGAGAGTGAGAAATATCAGGCGATAAATGAAGAGAGAGAGAGGGGGAAACCAAGTGATAAATGATAATGGAAAATTGTTTTGGAGGACGGCATTTCTACATTTGCAGCTCTCAAGGTAGAAAGCATTCATTTTAAAGATTGATACAAATAGGTAGTCTAGTCTATTTTAAAAAACTTGAACTTAAAGGTCCAAATGTTTTTTTCATAGAATTATTATTTTAAATTTTTAAAATTTAATTGTTTTTTTCATATCCATAATCTCCTTTGATATTATACGTCCTTAAAAATTAAGGGAAAAATTCCGTCTCAAAAATAGTCTTTTCAAGAGGAGACTCATTTCTACATGGACCGTGTCCAATGATTATACATGTACCGAGCAAAAGTAAATACATATAAAGAGAGGAAGAGAGAGAGGGAAGAGATTTTAGTTGTGGGTAAGAGAGGTAGCCGAACGTGAACCTCCCATTGGCTCATCAGAAGATCACCTTATCCACACCTCACCTCATATTCCCTCCCTCCCTCCACTTCCACTCTCCAAGCTCCCTTCCACTCGGAACACATACTCCAACATATTCCCTCCGCCGCAGCCACCACCACCGCAACCACCACCACCACCACCACCATGGCCATGGCAGCCCAAGCAGCCCTCCTAGCCCCCAAAATCCCCTCTCTAAAACCAAGATCCACCTCCTCGCCCTCCCTCTTTCAACGAGCCACCCCCCTCTCAAACCAATCTCTCCGAACAAAGCCGATCGTTGCCGCCACCACTGAAGAGAAAGCCGCGCCTGAAGCCCCAGTCGGATTCACCCCACCCACCCTCGACCCCAACACACCATCTCCCATCTTCGGTGGAAGCACGGGGGGCCTCCTACGAAAGGCCCAAGTCGAAGAATTCTACGTAATAACATGGGATTCACCGAAAGAGCAAATCTTCGAAATGCCAACCGGTGGAGCTGCAATTATGCGAGAGGGACCCAACCTCTTAAAATTAGCTCGAAAGGAACAATGTTTAGCCCTTGGAACCAGACTGAGGTCTAAGTATAAGATCAAATATCAGTTTTATAGGGTTTTTCCTAATGGTGAGGTGCAATACTTGCACCCTAAGGATGGGGTGTACCCTGAGAAGGTGAACCCGGGTCGACAGGGAGTGGGTCTGAATTTCAGGTCCGTCGGAAAGAACATAAGCCCGATTGAGGTCAAGTTCACCGGGAAACAGGTTTATGACGTTTAAGCTTTGTGTGGTTGGATTTGGTGAACATGGATAGATCAAGATCAAGCATGGACATATGAAAGTATGTATAATGGTTGGGTTGTGTTTTTCATTTTAGCTGAATTATTTGCTGCGTTTTACTTGTTTTCTTTGGGGTGCTCTATCTCATATGTAATACTATTCATGCAAGTCAAGACTCGCAGTTGGTTTAAGCTTCGATTTGCCCATAGGTTTATGTGTGTTTGCCAAGAATCTGCATTTAGGTTTATGTGTTTTTGTCAAGAATTAGCATTTTTAAAACCCGGTGGACTCGGCAAGTACCATTTACTGATACAAGGTGGTCATATTGGTCTTTTGAAGTTTGAGCTTGGTTAGTGAAATAATTGCAGCCACTCAATTTTACATCCAATAGTCAAGATTAATGGGACCACTTTGCACCAAACGTAAATAATTGCAGCCATTCAATGATTGACTGGGGTTATTCCTAGTCAACTCACCACTGGATTAAAAACTACCAAGAATCTATTATATCCAAGGGAAAGCATGAAATGACATCATTTACATTTTATTCACAATAATCTTGACCATTAGATGTAAAGTTGGGTGGCTGCAATTATTCCATTGACCAAGTTCAAATTTTAAAAGAAATTTTTTTGAACTTGTGACACATTCAAGCAATCAAATTTCACATCAAATGGTTGTAAAGAATTGTGACCACTTTGTATAAAAGGTAACGGGTGCAGTTGGCATACAGATGCATTCGTAGACCAAGTTCAAATTTCAAAAGAAATTTTTTTGAACTTTGTGACACATTCAAGCAATCAAATTTCACATCAAATGGTTGCAAAGAATTGTGACCACTTTGTATAAAAAGTAACGGGTGCAGTTGGCATACAGATGCATCCGTAGCTGTAGAAGTAAGGTGCACTTTCAAATTTTATCATGGTATATAATTTTAATGTAAAATGTTATTAGGATTATCTCAAAATCTATTTTTATATCTATTTATAAAAATTTTATGAAAATCTTGAAAGTGGGCAGGGTAGATAATATGTTGTAAAATGCACTATTTCTTAGACTTAAAATCTTTTTATTTTTTATGGCCATACATTTTGATATCGAAGAATAATCAAAAGGTTTTTCAACATTAAAACTACCTTTTCTGATGGATTTAAGTGCATCCGTAGCTCTATATTATAAGATTGTAGCCTTATATAAACTTTTTCCAAAGGTAAATGGTCTCATTGTATACAATCCCTATATATATATATATAGTACGAGTAGGCTCATGTAGCACGTGTTAGTCAAAATATATATTCTCAGCTTCAAACTTGGGAACAGAGGTTCATTGCCGATATACAGAATGGAATCAGAGCTTCGGTACATAGGTTTGGGAACCATGTGGTACGTGAGGAGAAATGGAATAAGAGCTTGGATAAGAGGTTCGGGTGCAATACTTATAAAAGTCACCGAAACTTAAAAGGTCATGAAATGGTATATAGGGTTAGCAATGCCATGGGTGGCCTGGCCCGGCCCAAAAAAGTAAGGCTTAAGGCCACAAATTGTGGCCTGAGGGAAGGGTTAGGATCGTGGCGGCCCGGTTCGACTCGGCTTGGCACTCCTTTTATCTTGTTTCTTCTTTTGTTTTCTTTCATTTATTTTTAGTCTAGTCCGGCCCTAGCTTAGCCCTAATAAAGCTAGGCCCAGGGTTGGGCCAATCCATGGGGACAAGGGCTGGGCCAATCCATGGGGACAAGAGCTGGGCCAGCTCAAGGCCAATGCTGGCACGGCCCACAACTCCTTCCCACCCTTAATGGTATACTGCTATAATTGACCCAACTAATACAAATAATGTAATCATATAAGTTGATCTATGTTCCCTTGGATATATCATCCCTCACCACAAAGTTCTACTAAGAACTTAAATTTCAACTTTTTTCTTTTTAAAGTACTAATGCAAAAGTAGATCCCTTAAGTTTAGATACATAAAATATTATTAAGTAGATTGCTTTTTATGGATCAAACATATAATTTGTTCTATAAACACATCCATCACAACTCATTATGACATTAACATTTGTATTTGTAAGGGTTGTTAGAGAGAGAGATATTTGAATTCACTTCTTGAGATAGACTCAACGCATACACAAAGGAAATATGAGTTTGGGTGAGAAAGACGGAGATGGCAGTGGATTAAAGAGAATTGAAGCCCACTCTTTTGTGTCTGTGAGAAGAGGTGGGGTTAGGAAAATGACTCGGTTAAATCGGGGATGAGCCATGATGTACTATTGGTAAGAACTTTTCTATTTTTTTATTGTCTAGAAATTTTTTTAGTAATGTATCTTTGCTAATTTTAAAAAATTAGTAATGTTATTACGAGAGAGAGAGAGAGAGAGAGAGTTCAAGACAATGTGAGAGTTTCGAGTTTGGGTTTTCATCTCATTCCATTGCTGTGATTTTTCAGAAATGTAGCCTGCTTAGCGCTATCACCTCACAACCATATTTCACATTAGGCTATGGTGTTATATTCAAGTTGGAAAAGCCATAAATTATTGTTCTCTTAGCTCTGTATAATATCAACTTGCATACATGTTTATATACCTATTTCTTTAAATCATTTTCTTTGCTTGACCACTCAAAAGTTGAGCGTTCTCTATTCAATATTAGGTTGTTATTTTTCTATGTACATATACTAATATTTGATTTTGTTAGTATTATTTGCACAAGTGCAAAGGCAACTAAAGTTTACATATAAGTACTTCTTATGGAGCTCTTCAAGTTTTTTACAAAATGACTATTAACCGCTCTCAACTTACTACAGAAAAATTGATGTTTTAACTGTTTGATTTCGCCGGAGCAAGATAAGAGAAATGAAAGAAATTTATTGGTCAATTCATTTGGGTTTCACCATTGAGAAGAGAAAAAATGGAAATGAGACAGAAAGAGAATGGGAGTTTTTTAATGTAGGGAAAAAGAGTCCCAATTTCCCTTTTTTGGTTAGTTTTCCGTGAGAACTTCTAATGTGCTTTAAAAACTATTCATATGTATATAAAATGCTTATGTTAAAGGCATTTGTTAAACCTTTTACATTTCTTGATACAGCACTAGAATTTGAACATAGAATTGAACCATGAATCTCTCTTTAACAATAACTTTTCAGCAGCTTATTATTTTTGCCTATAAAAATAGTAGGAAAACTCTTCTCAACGCCTATAGAAGAACCTATTTTTGCCCATAAAAATAGTAGGAAAACTCTTCCCAATGTCTATAAGCGAGAATGAATAGTAATTTCACCTACATTCATCACTATCCAAATTTCATCGTACGATCACAGTAGTCCGGTAGTATTTCATTTTTCATTGTTTTTTTTTACAAATCCAAATTACTTGAAATTTAAAACGTGTGTATATCTTAGTGAAATGCACCTAATAAAAATATGAAAAAACAATTCGTAAAATAAAAATTGATCAAAATACCCCCAAAAAATTACGGAGGTATTTTGGTCAATTTATATTTTATTAATTCTTTTTTCAATATTTTTATTAGGTGCGTCTCACTAAAATTTACACACGCTCCAAATTTCAGTTCATTCCTATTCGTAAAAAAAAAAATGAAAATTGAAAGACTACCAGACAACTGTGACCGTGCGATGAAGTTTGAATGCTTATTGGAGTAGACGAAATCATTGTTCATTTTCACCTATAAACGTTTTATATACGAGTTAAAACATACGACGCACGTTCCATTGCTTAATGTATAAGTAAAGTAAAGGCGCGTCTTTTGTTTTTGTATTTGAGTTGTAGGGACTCACCACATAGCCTATTGACTACAAGTAAACCATAGCAACACAAGTCATGCTCCTTAAAGCCTATTCCTAACTAATTCTAATTGGGGTCAGGTATGATACCCACACAAGTACAATTATTTATTTGAATGTTAAGCCACAAAAGTACAATTATTTATTTGAGTGTTAAGCCGCACAAGTTTGTTAACTATACACTCTACATCATACTCAAAAAAAAAATACAAACTATACAAGCTTGGGATCGGATCCTACAATCAAGGGTAACTCTAAAACACCAGAACCCTTGGCTATTAGGGCTCACCCCTTGTTTTGCATAGAGGAAATCAAGCTTCCACCGGAGAGGGTGCAATGGTTAGGTTGATTTGGCTCCCTGTGTGTGCTAAAGCACGACGGTCTCTTGTGAGGATGTCTTGGGTGATTTCTTTTTTGTTGTAATTTACCCAAATTTGTGGAATCGTTTGTTGTAGGTCGTGGATGCTTTCAATAGTATAGTCCGCTCCCCGAGCATCTGCTGATCCTCCCACCTTGGATACCAAAAATTCAAAATTTAGTTTGGGCAATGAATCGTGATTCAAAGAAGCTTGGGTTCAATAAAAATTTTGATTTGGTTCCGTTAGTTCCCAAATTTTGGTTATTTTTCACTAACATCTGTTTTAAGTTTGAGATCCCCAAATTTCAGTTCATAAAATATTGGGCTGACAATGGGCCTGGCAGCCTAACCACGAAAACGTAGGGCCTGAGCCACGAACTATGACCTAAGGGCTAGGCAAGGGCTAGCATTGGTCTGCTTCGACCCTATTTTTTTTTATTGTTTTTCTTTTATTTTTTCTTCATTTATTTTTAGCCCGACCCGCTGCCACCCTCAATAAAACAACTAAATGAAGGTTCTATCTAGATCATATTTAAAGGGTCTTGGTGAGCTTATTTTCTTTTCCTTTCTATATGTGCAAGGTGTGGGAATATTCTAGAAACAATGTTTCCCTCAACGAAATAATTCACTTGCCAGGATTTAGTTTTAATTCTGATGAAATTTAAATCAAAATTTGGAAAATAACATGGTATTGAATCTCTAAGTAAGAAAACTATTATTTTATCTAACATTTGACATTAGGAAGGAAGCTTCAAAGCTTCCATTTGTTAAAAAGTGACTCAAAAGATTCAATCTTCCATGTTCTTACTCAGTGAAGAGCTATAAATTTTTTGATTTTAAAGATAAAATTTGTAGCCAAGATGGAGGCATTTCCCTTACCTGGACAGTCACAAGGCCACATGCTTTACCAGCTGAAATATTCCGGCCACCATCATCAAAAAATAACTGCAAAAATTATAAAATGAATTCGACTAAGGACAAGGTTTATATGAGTCCATGTAGAAATGAGTCTCTTATTATTAAAAATATATTTGAGATGGATTTTTGACCCAATTTTTAAGGACATAATCTCTAACATGAAGATCATGAATATGATAAAATAAATAAAATTTTAAATTTAAAAATAATAATTTTATGAAGAAATCATTTGGACGGTTAGTTTTAATTGTTTTTAGATGAACCGCCCGTTTACGATGGCTGCTTTATACTTCGCGGATGCACAAATGTAGAAATGCATCCCCCGACGCCTGGAACAATTTTCCTCAAACGAATCCCTAGAACATAGGATATGAAAGGACACATGTGATCTAGCCGAAATATATAATATATTTTTTTCTTTCTTTTAAATTCTTTTCTTTTTCTTCACGGCTTAGATCACTCACAAGAAGTCCTTTTACAATATAACAACTTCAAATAAAATAAAAGAAAATAATACAATAAGATCTCAAGAACTTGAAGCCATTGAAAACCTTTCTTTCAATAACAAAGAAAATACCCAACCTATGTCTGGGAATAAAAGACTTAATATATAAATATGGAAGAAACAAAAGAGGGTGCCGGAAATTATGTCAATTGAGTTTAGTACACCCCATACCGAGTCTCTTTCTTCCGATAGTATTCAAGATTTTTGATCGGTCTCTTGATTTCTCTTTCTTGTGGCAAAACTCAAACAATGCATATGGATCCCAATCTAGAGCCAGTCACCTAAAGCCTCAATGATTAAGCCTAATTCAAGCCTCTTGGCTTGATCCTTATAAGATATAGAAATTAAGAAAAGAGGGAAAAAAACTACTACTTAGGGATGATCCTTTTGCTGCCCACAAAATCACATAACCAAATATTCACGCTTAACCTTGCCTAGCTTGGGCGTGCCCCTTCTATTTTAGAGAGAGAAAGTAAGGAGTCTAGAGACAAAGGAAGAAAATGATCCATTTTATAGATTTTTTATGCATCAGGGTTTGCCATAAAATCGTATGAGCAAATCTTGACCATCAATATAAGAAGACTTGTGGGATAAGAGATGTCAGCCATCCATTCTCTAAATCCACCATCAAGATGCTAAGAAATATATTAGAACCTTATCATCTCCTTCCTAAACCTATTCCTATCAAATAAGTTAAATAAGAAAAATATTTCTTTACTTTCTCTAATAGTAAATATTCATTCCTTATTTCTCAATCAAACCTTCTTGATTATCAAGATTTTCTAAACCCATATGTTTCATTCCTTTAATGCAAATAGGCTTTTTTCCACAAAAGGAAAGCCAACTAGTATGAGATGCCTCTCCCCATATTTAGCAAAAAAAAGGTAATTCCTTATGAGTGGGAGGGTGCTACCCTTTGGTGGCCTCATGGGCCCTATCCAATTATCTCATGTGATTTAAATGGGCCTCTAATAATTATGGACGGTCCCACATATTTTAGAAAATATAAAAAAACCTATTTGTTTATTTTATCAAAATATTCATAAAAATTCAAATAAACATTCTAAAAAAATAAAATAACATTAAATTAATTAAATTAAATTAATTTTTATGGGAATCGGATTCGAATAAGTCTAGGATTTAGTCAACGCATAGAAGCACTCCGCCTTCAACTGTGGACCACGATCCACACTAGCTTTTTCAAACTGACCCAGCAGTTTCCATGACTCACAGTCCACTACAGGGGCTCAGGATTGGACCACCAAAGTCAGTCAATCAATGGGCTAGAGGATGTAATCCCAGTCTATAGATTTCAGATTCTCCCCTAGAGACAAATCATGATCGGCCATACTATGATGCAATCATGACTCTATGTTGCATAGGGATAATCTCTCGCACATGTACACGCTTCACCCTCAATGGTGGATTACTATTTTAATACGACTATCTATGTACATGCCGTGTGATGATATAACGATGATGTTTTCGCCCTGTCTCTATAGACTATTCATCACAAACAAGGGTCACATAGTCCCTCGTCTCTCATCCGAGCATACTCCAACCTCATTAAAGGCTAACCTACTAAACGCTCATTGATTATATCTCTATACCCAGGTATTTTGGGTTTTTCAAATTTGTTGGCTTAGCACGTCAAGCATAGTTTGAGTATCAGCAAATTGCATTTGCTTAGTATGGTCTATAAGAGGATCACACTCTCACTGAGTTTATGATTCATCATATACAATGCTCATACAAGATCTCATGAGGCCTTTAAAGGTCACAAAAATCCAACGTGATAAAACGCCAAAAGCACTGGTTTTCGTGTCACCAACACTCACAATAATAATGTCACTTTATTACCAATACATTAATGTTATTTTAATTAGGGTGAGGTTTGTATAAGGTTGAGGCTCAGAAAAATTAATGTTATTTTAATTAGGGTGAGGTTTGTATAAGGTTGAGGCTCAGAAAAATCAAAGTAAGGCGTACTTTAAATAGTGTTGAAAGATAAATTTTACAAGGAAATATCTGTGATAGCCTAAAAATTTATCTTCTTATCAAATTATAAAATTTAAATATTCAAAAATATTGTAGATCGTGCAAATTTATAAACGTTTGAAAATATTGAAAATTGATGGCCCAGCTAATGCATTACAAGATGCATTATTTCCTAGGCTTGAAATCTATTTTTTTTCATGTCTATACATCTCGAGGTCGTGATGATTGATTTCTAAGGTTTTTCGACATTGAAACACAATATGTACTAATGAATTTTTAAGGTGCACCCTAATTTGATTGTTTAGTGCCTCAACCATATATAAACACTTACCTTTTATTTATGTTTCTTGTTTTCCCTTTTTACTTTAATATACATTTTCTTATTTTGTTGTTGTTGTGCCATTTTTTAAATTTCCTACGGCAATAGCAAGAAAGTTCCAACGTGGGAAAAAATGTCTCATTAAAATATATCATGAGAAACCTCAAGTTGCTTCTTCTGTATGAAAAATGAAGGCACCTCACATGTAGGGGTGGGAATTGGGTTGTGTAGAACAGTGGACCCGATGGGTCGACCACACCGGGTCCAGATCTGAACTTAGATCTAAATCCATTTGACCTTGATCTGACTCCAGCCTGGATCCAGCTTAGATCTTGTTGGGTTGGGTCCAAGTCAACCTGACCTGACTCAGTATATAAAATATATACTATATTTTTCATATTGCTATTTATGGACCCGGACCCAACCCGATCTGATGGGTCGGGGTTCGGG